CTCCCTCCTTTCCCTCTCTCCCTCCTTCCTGATCATCTGAGGGTTGCCCCATTCTGTGGAGGGCTGGCAGTAGGGAGGAGAGGGCATCTGCTGGAGATCTCTAGCTGACCTTGACCCCAGGGGTTAGGTGGGGCTGATTGTCTTAGAGTTTCAGCCTCAGAACAGGTGAGGGGGCTGTCCCAGGAGCCTGGATTCTGGTGGCAGCAGGAGCCTTAGAAAGAAAAGGCTGTTGCTTCAGGGTCCCTGTGAGCTGGGTGCAGCTAGAGCAGGGCCCAGGGTCCTGGTCCAGGTTCTCAGCCTGCGGAGCAAGGAACTGAGCAAGACTGGAGAGACTGGGGACAAGGAGAGGTGTATTGAGAGGGGAGTGACTCGGAGGAGCGAACACGGGGAGCAGAAGGTGGAGCTGTGGAGGGCTGGACCCTCTGCACAGGGGCTTTCACTGGGCTCTTAGTCTCCCCTCTTCTCCCCTGGGGGGCCTGGGGGTCCACTGATACCTTGATGGGCAGCTGAACTCCCAGGACTTCTTTTATTGCCCACATGTGACCTCCTCCCCGGTATCCTGCCCAGGGGGAGCAAGCCGCGATGCTGGTGACCAGCAACCAGCTAACTTCAGGTGGTCCCTGGAGCCCGCGCAGGACGGGGCTCCTCCTTCCTGGGCTCAAATTCCCCTTTTAGGTGGAGCTGAGCTCCCTAAGGGGTGGCCCCTTTCCCGTGCCCTGTCTCCTACCTGGTTTTAGGGCCTGGGGTGGTGTCGGAGCTGGGAGCTATCAGGCAACAGCCCCAGGGCAGGGCCTGGTTTGGGAGGCCCTGGGTGCCTGGAGTCTTGGGCAGCAGAGAACCGGCAGGGCCCGGGGAGGGGATCTGCGTTTCATTCTATCTGGGGTGGGAGACTACCGCTGCCCCCTCCCACAGGAAGCCCTGGCCACACGTGGAGATTTGCTTTCTTGTTGGTGCCTGTGAGCTGTGCAGAGGGGCGGGCTCCACGGAGGCACGTTCACAGGCACATCAAAACCCAGTCAGATCAACCTCACCCAAAGACCTCCCCGACATGGACAGGGTTGATGGAAAGCCGGGCCCCTCGTGTGCTCGGCCAGCTCTCCAGAACTCTGCGGCCCCCAYGCTGCTGGCCATTTCCTGTAACAGTGTAGACAGGCCATGTCCATCTGCAGAAGTTCAGTGTTACCCTAGAGGGTCCAGAGCCAGGCCAGGTCGGGGGTGCTCTCTTGGGGCCTCTGGCTCTGCATGGGCCAGAGGGCCGACTAGGGCAGGGCCTGGCCAGACAGTTGTCCCTCGGCTCTGCTGCCCTGAGCCGTGGGCAGGGGCTGAGGACAGGGCCAGCAGGACAGGCTGGTGGGCCCATGCCATGTGTGACGGGGGAATGGAGTGGGCACAGGGTCCCCCAGGAGATAAGGAAGAGGGGACAGGAGCCAGGGTAGAATTGAGGCCTCTGTGATGCCTGGGGGTGTCCCAGGAGGCTGGGTGCCACATCTGGAGATGGGGGCCGGGGGAGAGGTGGGGCTGCAGGTCATGGTGACCCAGGCCGCTAGCTGAATGTCAGCTCCTTGCTGACCTGCTGCAGGGTAAAACGAAAGTCCACCTTTCCATCCCCGCAGGGGCCGGGCCTGAGGATGAACAGGCAGGTCTTTGCAGCTGAGCTGGGCGTCTGTGACTGGAGGTCAAGCTGGTCTCTGGGTCTGGGTGCCACAGTGCTGGCCCAGCCTCCAGCACCAGTTTTGTGACTTGGAGGCTCAGTGGGGGTGGGGGGAGCACCCCACAGACCCAGGTCTGGGCCAGCAGGACCTCCTGACTTCCATCTGCACCTTCCAGACCTGGCTCTGCAGCTGCTGGCCGTGCGGAGGAAGAGTGGACAGCCAGACCCCGGCCTGCAGCAGGCCCTGCGGGGACGGCTGCGCCTGCTGGAGAACGAGAGCCAGGAGGTGGCCCGCGTGCTGGGGGTGAGTCAGCCTGGAGCCTGGGAGCAGGGGAGAGGGGCTCCCTCGAGTAAAGAGAATAGGCACAGAGGGGGACGTCACAGAATGAGGACAGTTCAGGAGACAGGGCCCCCTCTGCCACAGGGCTGGGATGGGGGCAGCACGGACTTGGGGTCAGACTGCCCTGACGGTGGCCTCCTAGCCTGTGTGAAGGCACCTTCGTCCGCCACACTGGAGACGCCCAGAGGTGGGGACCAGGTGAATACCTCACCAAGTGCCCGGCACAGAGACTGGCTCAGACTGCTCAACAAACAGGACTCCGCCCGGGATCTGGGCCACAGAGGAGGGCCGTGGTGGGCTCTGGGGTCCAGTCAGCGGCACCACCTGCCCAGGGTCTGAGCTCAGAATCAGGCCTGGCTTCCTTTGTCAGATGGAGGGGTGTTGGCCGCCCCCGCTTTAGTCAGAAGAGCTCCCGGATGGTGTGATTGTTCCCAACACTGTCACCGTCACCCCAGAGGACAGGGGCAGGAGTGCACTGAGTCTTGGTGGGAGCTGCAGGTGCAGCGAGGCAAGGCGGGTCCCAAGGCAGCACTGTGGCCAGGCTGAGGGCAGCTGCTGATGGCAGTGGCCGGGGGGAGGCTTGGAGGGCGAGAGAGCAGCGTGGGTGGCCCCTGGGCTCTGGCAGGAGCTGGGCTGTATTCTGCAGGTGCCGGAGCTGCAGTCGGCTTGTGAGCAGGAGAGGATCAGCCGGGGCTGCAAGGAACCACGCTGCAGGCCACTGGGACTGTCCCTAAATTCTATTTCTTTCCTTCAAGGAATTGTCAGCCAGACTGTTGTCTATCCACAGTGACCAGGATCGGATCATGGTGACGTTTAAGACTTTTGAAGAAATCTGGAAGTTTTCCACCTACCACGCTCTTGGTAAAGCGGCCACCCTCCCAGGGCTGACCCCAGGGCCCCCTCAGAGGACCCGAAACTCACCCTGTGTCCCTGGCACCAATCGGGGCTGGAGAATAGGTTGCTTCACAGCGGYCTCTCCAGAAAAACAGGGAGGGCCCAGGGTCCACCTTGTTCTGGGGGTGGGAGGGCGCTGTGCTGGGCTGTGCTGGCTACAGCCGAGGTGGACAGTCTTGCTGGGGGCTGTGGTGCCTGAGCTCCCAGGTCCCTTCCCTACGGCTTGGTCCTGACCTCTGTGGGGCGGGAGCTGGGCTCCCACTGGCTCTGGAGGCCCAAGGAGCCCAGACAGGAGGCCAGCAGCCTGGGGTGGGGCCCAGCTAGGGGAGCCTTGTGAGCCCACCCCCGTTTGAGGGCCGAGAAGCTGGAGGAGGAGACCCCTTGTTGGAACCCTTGGCAGGACTTGTTGATGCACTGTCCTGTCTCCTGGGAGGAGACGGTTCTCAGAGGAGCCAGTTTGTCCTCAGTCCTCCCTGCAGGACAGCCGTGGGTACTGTGGTGCTCAGAAGGCAGCGTCCTCTGGCCCTGTCCTCGAATGTCCACCTTCAGCTAGAGTAATGAAGGACTTGCTCGCTATCTGCTGTGGCCCTGATGGGGAGCCAGGCTGGTGCTGCCTGCTGGCCAGGCGTGGGGGTGTCACAAGCACCCTGATGGCAAAGCACTGTCTCCATGGAAACAGATAACATGGGCCAGTAGCGCCAGGCCAGGGCTCCCTGGCCTGTTCTGTGTCCATCCTATTGATGGTCAACGTGGCCCTGTAACCTCTGACTTAAGAATGCAAACACAGAGGCACACAGAGGCCCTTAACTTGACCATGGTGGTGGTGGGTGGGTGAGGGTCTGGACACAGCCACTGGTAGCCAGGATGGTCAGACCAGTGAACCRTGCACAGGTAGGCTCCCAGGGCAGGTGGCCCACGCTGGAGCCTTCCCTGCCCCTTCCAGAGCCTGTGGGTGACCAGACCTGGCCTTGCAGGCTTCACACATCACTGCTTGGAAAACCTGTTGGTGGACCGGGCCTTCTGGCTGCTCTGGCCAGGCGAGGAGGAGGAGACGGCCATCCAGGTGCACGTGGAGGAGGACGCCTTGAGGCGGACCCACCAGAGCCTGCTGGCCCAGGAAGGTGGGTGCCGTGCATGGCGACGGTGACCTTGGTCTGGGGCTGTGGCAGGAGGCAGCTCTGGAGCCAGGAGGTCTGCTCCAGGCGGTGGCTACCTGGCGCCCCCTGGCACACCCTGGCAGTAAGCAGGCCAGGGCAGCAAAGACCCTGGTTGGCCCCCCGGGAGATGAGGTGTCTGGGAAGTGACAGAAGAGGCTGTCTGGTGTCCCCACCTCCAGCCCTGATTCTTGCTGGGCTTCGAGGCCCGATTCTAGAGGAGGGAGGTAAAACGGCCTTCCCCACGGCTCTCAGCCTGAGCTGCCGGGGCTGGACTCCCAGTGGCCGTCCAAGCAGGAAGTGCTGGGGACCACCCGTCTGGCCTTTGTGGTACAGGGAGGACACTGAGGCCCAGAGAGAGTCTGAGTTTGAGCAGGCCTCAGAGGCCAGTGGAGGCAGAGCTGGGGCCCACCCCGGGTGCTGGCCTCCTGTCTGGGCTCCACTGGTTCCTGGGGCTGAAGCAGCTGATGGGGCCTCCCCCCGGGCTGCCTTCACTGTGGGTCCTGTAGGGGCGGGTGGTCCTGCTGGCAGAGTGTCAGCTGCCCGGTCCAGCCACCTGGATGACCACCTTTTTCCTTTCAAAGGGCCTTTCTTTGTCCTGTGTCCTGACCACCATGTGAGACTGACGACGGGCCGCCAGAGTGTGGGGAAGGGCCCCCAGGTCCCCAGGAAGGCTTCGGGGCACTCCCTGGGGGACGTGGCCCTGGAAGCGGACTCTTCAAGCCCCATTCCCACCACGTCTGGGGCGGCAGCAGCAGCGGCGGCCCCGGAGCCCTTGATTCCGTTCCATCAGTAGGTACCGGACTCTCTGTCGTCCCTGTGGTGCTGGGTGGTGCTGGGCCCCACAGATGGTCCCTGGGCCTGGCAGGTCGACTGCCCAGTGGGGTGGGAGGACAGGCAAGATGGGCACCTTTTCTGCTGCTTCCTCTCTGGGCCTCAGGCAGCGCCTCGACGGGGCCCGTGGGCTCTCCCTGGCAGGGCTGCCCGGGCCTCAGGGCACAGGAGTGTGCAGCACACAGCCCTCATCAGGCCCACTCGGAAGCCGGCCAGGGAGGCTCAGGACAGTTGCACCTGCAGGAAGGAGGCAGACGGAGATCTGCACACACAGAAACTGAGTGCAGGTAAAGCTAGTGAGGACGGTCACCCAGAAGATCCTGCTGGCTTGCTGAATGGCTCATAGACTAGGCTGGGAGCTTCCTAGAAGCCAAAGCAAAGAGAGAAACTCAACCTCCTGATTGACAGCGATGGTGGGGTGGCAGTCAGTGGCCGCTCATGTCTCCTACGAAGACCAGAGGAGTTTCTAGTTTCTCCAAGAAACTCCCCTGTTTGCTGTGCCCAGTGAGGTCCTGGCAGGTGACACAGAGCACGTCCATAGGCCATCCTCCAGGGTCAGGTTCCAGAGGTTAGATGGAGAAGGAGGACGGTCAGTCTCCACTACAGTGTTCTTGCTGTCTGTCTGAGGAGCAGAGGCCCGGACAGGCTCATTTGTGCAGGCCCATGGTGACGGACAGTAGGGTCAGGGCCGGAGGCCAGGCTCCTGCGGCCCCACAGCACTGAGCTGCTCCTGGAAGCAGAGGGGGCAGGTGCTTATGGGGGGTGGTCTGCAGGGGTCCAAAGCAGTGATGCAGTCCCTGGGCTGGGTAGTGCCACCGGCCCCAGCAGGTACCTGTGACCAGGAGGTGAGGGATCTGCTCAGGTTGCTGGGGCTGGACCCCTGCCCAGAAGGCATCTGCCCGTCTGAGGTCCACGGCACAGACCTCCTCTCTCCACTCTAGGTGGGCCCTTAGGGCCCCCTGGGGCCCAGTGGACGACTCCGTGGGTGGACCTGTGACATCTGACAGCTCACTGATGGGTAAGAGTTTCCACCGGCCTCTCTTTCCTGGGGGAGAGGTAGCCCATGAGTCATGGGCACCAGCATTCTGGAAGTTTCTGTGTTTGCCCTGAACCCTCCCCAAGCCCAGGGACAAGGCTGTGGTCCCCTCCTGTCTGCAAGAGGAAGGCTGAGGCTCAGAGAACTCCAGGGCTGATCCCAACTTCACAGCCCTGGGAAGGTGGCTGGCATCCTGTCATCATCCCCAGGAGGCTGGGATGTGGCTCACAGACACCTCAATGAGCTGTCCCAGGTCTCAATGCCCTGGAGGACCTGGGAGGAGGCGGCCAGCCTCTGGCTGAACCTGCTGTGGGTGCCAAGGAGACCCCGAGGCTCAGCCTGGCCCCGTCTTGGGTCTTTGTGAAAAGCTGCCTGCAGCTCCCGGGCTCAGGGGCACCAGAGCTCTCTGCTTGWCGCCCAGTGGCTGGTGTTTGCTTGGCTTCTGTGCCAGCTACGTGGACAGAGGCCCTGGGGGCAGGAGGGACAGGTCACAGTCTCCTGGAGGCTGACCCCCCGGCTGAGCGAGAGTCATGGCCGCCATTTCCCATGTTTAGTTTAGGGATAAAAGCGCCCATCTCTGGGGTCCACTTAGATGTCCAGCCCCACACTGCAGGGCCCGGGCTTCCCTTCTCCTCCCCCAGGGGCAAGGCATATTTTCTGCCAGAAGTCCCGGCCTCTGCCCACCGGCCCCAGCTCTGACCGCGTGGTCTCCTTCCCAGGGTGTGGCCAAGCCTCAGCGGTGGCGGACTTCCAGGGCTCAGGGCCTGAAGAGGTGTCCTTCCATGCCGGCGACCTCATCGAGATCCTGGGTGCCCAGGTGCCCAGCCTGCCCTGGTGCGTGGGCCGGCACGTGGCCTCAGGCCAGGTGGGCTTCGTGCGGACCAGCCACATCAGCATGCAGGGCCCGGTGTCTGAGTGAGTGGACCAGGCCCCCTTTTCTAGGCTGATCCCCACCACTCCCAGGGGACCCTGCCACCACCTCCACAGAGCTTCCCAGGTGACCACCTGGATGGTGGCCTGGACAGCTCCTTCCCCCTGCTGGGCTCAGGTCACCATGGCCTCTGCCCCAGCACCTCTCCAAGATGCTGCCAGGAGGGCATCCTCTGAGAGGTGACGTGCCCCGACACCTCCTGGTGCTTGTCCCACAGGCGGCTGGCCCTCAGGCCTGGAGCCAGGGGCAGAGAGCAAGGTGCGGGCAACCCCAGGCTGCCTCCCCAGCTCGGGGCCCTCGTGCCCTCCAAGCTTCGGCTGCCAGCAGCGCCCCTTGGCTGGTGGCTGTGTCCCTCCAGCCCCGCCCAGTGTCCACAAGGCCTCCTCCCCTGTGTCTGTGACTGTGTTCTCTAAGAAGGACACTTGCTGTCATGTACACCCCCCTCCAGTGGGTCCCACCTCAACCAGTTACATCTGCAAAGACCTCATTTCCAAAAACGTCACCTTCCAAGGTTCCTTTGAGTTTGGAGTTTGGAGGGTCACTCCTTAACTCAGCACCCCAAGTCACTCCCCTCCATGAACCCCTTTCAAGTTTCAGCCATGGACTTCGAGGCCCCTCACAACCCTGGTGCCTCCCATTCCAAGGGCCACCGCTTGCCTTGAGTCCCCCAGAGTCCAGCTGTGGGGAGGCTGGCTCCTGGTTCCTTAGTTCTCACGGGTTCTGAGTCTTGTCTGTCATGGCTTTTCCCGGGGACACTCTTCCTGTCCCCTAGCCCCCAACCCCAGCCAAAGGACTCCCAGGGACAGATGCTGGTCAATTCTGTGTCGCTGCTGTCCAGCCCTGGCAACAGTGAGGGTCCTTGGGGAGTGTCAGTGGGCACAGCTGTGCCTGTCCTTGTGGTCTCTTCCCTGGACTTGGCCTCTCATTGTTAGAACCCAGTTCAGAGCCTGGAGAATGTGGGTGTGAGGAAAGTGTCCTCCGCTTCCGTCCTGTCCCCTCTGTGGGCTCACCTCCACTCCCACAGGTGAGACACATTTTTGGTGGCCCTGTTCTGGGCTGGGCGCTGAGACTGACCAGTAAGCTATACCCAGAGGTCCATGTCCTGCAGGCCGTTTAGTCCGGTAGCTACCTCCCCGCTCCTGCCTCCTTCCTGTCCCCCTCCGGGACTTGGTGGCCGCCCGCCAGCCCTGTCCCTGGCTGAGCACTGTGGGACCCTGCAGAGGCTGCGTAAGGACCATGGTTGGCACAGCAGCTGCAGGGGACATTGGATGGGGCTTTGAAAGCTGCGGGGAGCCCCCTTCCCAGGCCCAGTGGTTTGGCGCTGGCCTCCCCGTCTTCGCTGCCGTGCGTGGGGACTGTCTCAAATGAGGGAGTAGAAACGGTCTGACTGTGAAATGTCACTGTCAAAAGACACAGTCACAACCAATTCAGCTGAAGATCCAGTTGGCTGTGTCCACGAGTCACACGTCAGGTGGCCGAGTCCAGCAGGGGCGGGACAGCAGCGGGTGTTGTCAGGTGGGACTAGGGAACCGCGCTGCAGCGGAAGAGCCTTCCCGTTGGCACCAGGTCCCTGCAGGTCACTGTTTTGTAAGGGGTAAGGCAGCGGGRCCTCGTCCTCACCCTGCCCCTAAAACTGGCCCATTGAGACATGGCCTTCTCTCGCTGGTGTCCTCAGAGGCCAGCGGAGCCGTTCCAGCATGGTGATGCAGAACCGCTGTGCCGGGCCTTTGGTGGGGTCCTTGGGGCCCTGCAGAGCAGCCCCGGTCAGCGGCCTCCTGTTTGATTGACACCTGCGTCATGGCTCCCAGGTTGGAGAGCGTGGTCTTCCTGGACGAGGGAGAGAGGGTGTTCTTCAGCAGCGAGGGGCACCTTTCGGAGGACACCGCGCAGCGCTTGCTGAGCAGGATGGCGGGCACCGAGGTCTGCTCCGTGCACAGTCTGGGTAGGTGTGGGGCCTGGCTGACTGTCCCTGCAGGGGACCTAGGAGAGTGCTGGGTGGATTCCTGGAAGCACGGTGACTGCGCCCACGGTGGAGATAAAGGCTTGGGACTGGGTGAACCGGGTGGCATCCGGCCAGTGCTGAGGCCACCCGTCCCCCACCCTATTGGCACTGGGTTTGTAGGTCTCCCAGTGAGTCCTTGGGGGCAGGTGTTTCTGCTCCCCCTCCTTTCCCAGCAGCCCCCAGCTGCCCACTCCTCATGCCTTCATGTGGGCAGAGAAGGCCAAGCCCTGGGTGCCCAAAGGTGAGCAGGCGACAGACGGCCACTGCCTCTGGGCATGTGGGGTAGGCACAGAGAGAGAGGTGTGACGAGCTGGGGACGCAGGAGGTGCTGGGGCCCCCGAGCCCAAGGTCATGAGGAAGCCTTTCCTCACTGGTCTCAGCCCAAGGCATAGGCACCCTTGGCCTTGGCTGGGACATGGAGCTTGGCTGGGCTCTAGGGGGACAAGCTCCAGGAGGGTCCCACCCTGGCGGCCTCTGCGCAGCCTTGCCAACCCCCTGTGGAGAAGGAGCTGGAGCTCTGCCACTGTGGAGGGCTACCCAGCCTGGCTGCTGGGGAGGCAGGCAGGAGCCAGGGTGCCCACCTACGGAGCAGTGCCACTCCCCACCTCCCCACAGAAAGCATCTCCCTGAGGCCCAAGGTGCAGTGCAGCGGAGGAAGCCAGCCGTCCACACCAAGAGCAGCGAGGCTGAGCCAGGGACATGTGCACGCCCACTGGTGGGCCCTGATGCCCGAGCCCAGCAGAGGCATGCACACCCACGCACATACTCACACTCACACTCATGAGGTACGGGTATACACATACACACGCACGCCCCGTGCACACGCAACCACACGTGTACACACTCACATGTATGCACAAACACACTCATGCACACACACCCACATGTACTTGTGTGTAGCATGTACACACGCACACAGACGTTTCTTCCCGTATTTTTCTTCCTGCTCAATGACAGGCATCGAAACACCTTCCCGCCCACATTAGGTTGAAGCTTTCTGGGCCTACAGAAGAACGTCCTCCTGAACAGCTGCCCCTTGGCCCTGGCCTCTCCCGGCTCCAGCCCCCAACATGGCTGTCTTTCTCGGGGAACAGACGCTGTGGGCTGGGGCACCGCAGTGACCTCTGTGCCCTCCCTGCCGGGCACCCAGGAGCACGTGCCTGCCATGTCAGGTCCAGGCACCCTCACGTGCCAGTGGTCACAGCTGTCTTCATCCCTGCCCGCTGTGGTCCCGGCCAGGGGGTGTCAGCCCCTTCTAAGGAGGTGGCAGCTGAGGCCAGGAGGTGCCTGCCCCAGTCTGAACAGGGACGTGCCCAYAGTGGGTGGCTCCGCCCCAGCCTGTGGGACTTAGGGCTGCTGTGGCTCCATCCACCCTGCTCCCCAGTGGAGCTCACAGGGCCAGGGCACCCCTCCGTGGCCACGGTCCCTGTCCAGAGGGCAGGCTGGAGTTCTGCGTGGGCAGGGGAGGGCAGGGGCAGACCACCATGCTCTGTCCCTGTCTGTAGGTCCTGGGGGACGTGGACTCCTGAGCCACACCTCTCCCTCATGGGTGCTGGTGGCCAGAGGGTCCCTGCCTGGACATGGCCTGGGACCACAGGGCACTGTCTGGAGTCCTGATGACCTCTCTTCCTCCCTCCCAGACCGCCTGGCAGAAGCAGAGGGTGTGCAGCCTGAGGAGCGAGGTGGGTGCTGCCCACAGCTTGGGGTCCGGGGACTTGTGGTCAGAGGCGGGCTCCGTGGCAGGAGGGCAGGGCAGAGGTGGCAGTGCTGGGCACCAGGTACTGGGCGGGGGTGCCACTCCTCTGCCCTGAGGGTGCAGGCGGGTGTGGGGGGCTTATGGGGTGGGCCTGAACCCCCCTTGCACCTCRAGGCGCTGGGCCCCACACTTCCTCTGAGGGATGTGTCAGCCCCACTGGGCCCCACGGGGCAGACGTCCTGCCCACGGCCTGAGCCCACTCTGGGCTACGGCTTCCTCTGGGTGACTCAGAGCAGCTGAGGCCTGTCCTGCTCTGTGCCAGGCGGCCAGGTCACACTGCCCGCAGGGAGCGGGGACAAGGAGGGTGGAGCTGGAACATTGCTCTGGGGAGGAAGCCCTCCCCCAGTGAGGTCCCTGCAGGTCCTTCCTGAGGGCCTTCTTGGTTCAGGAACACCCTCTTTTCGCCCGTCTGCAGCTCAGCTGGCTCCCTGCGCCCCTCCCCAGGGGTCTGAGTGGCAGGGCGGGGGCATTTGGAAATTCCCTGGAGAACCAAGCACCAACTCACAACGGCTGCCCTGGGGTGCAGACAGGGAGGCCCTGAGATGGGGCCTGTGGGAGGCTGGTGCGGGAGGCTGGGCCTGCCTCCTTCCCACCTGGAGCCTCAGCAGACCCTCCTGGCTCCTGAGCCAAGGTCCCGTGGGCCCCTTAGCTGCCTGCGCTGGGCTGGAGTGGAGGCCAGCCACGGGGGCTCTGTGGGGGGCAGATTCCTAGATAATCCAGGGCAGTCGGGTCGGCAGGACCTCTGCCCCTAAACTGAGTTTAATTTTTTCTTGTTCTAAGTCTTTGCCAACTGACAAAGAGTTTGCTCTGGGAGCCATTCCCGATCCCTCTGGCCAGAGATGGTCCCTTTCCTGTGGCGGGGAAGGGCAGATGGCCAGCCCTCCTCTCCAGCTGGCTGGCTCCTGGGGATGGAGCCGGCCTGCCTCCCCCTCGGAGCTGCACCCGGCTGTTCTGCCCGTTCTGCATGAGGACTTCAGTGGGCAGATCAGCAGTTCTGACTGGCAGTTGGGGCTTCCTGGATGGGCGAGCCCAGCAGGCTGAGCAAATCACACCTTTGGGGCTAGCCCAGAGGGTGGACAGGACTCCTTATGTGGCTTCGATTCTTTCTGAAGGGAAAGGGACCCGCCAGCCACGGCTGAGCTCTGAAGCACGGATCTCTCACGATGGTGCTCTCAAGAGGGCGGAGATGGAGGGAAGAGGGTCACGGGGAAGGAACATGGAGCCACCAGACCCTGCTGTCCCTGGAGCAGCCTGGGGGGAGGGTCACCTGGGTGGTGCTGCTCCAGGGCTGGCGGGGGAGGGGAGAACTATGCAGGCCAGTGGCCTTCACACTGGACGCTAATCCACTGGGCCTTTTTGTGACTTGCAGAAATGCCTCTACCCGGCCTCAACCCCGAGCCCCAGGAGACCCTGCGGACAGTGAAGGATGTTCTAGAACAATGCAAGACCTTCCCAGGCTGCCCTGAGGAGGAGCCCGAGGCCAGGGGTCTCCAGGAGGCTTCTGGCAGTGTGAGCTCCCCCGACACCGCCGAGCCCCCCTTCTGCCTGCTTCCCGAGGACAGTAGGACGGACCCAGAGGCCCTGGGCTCGCTGCTGCAGACCCTGAACGCCCCTGGGTACCAGGCCTGCTTCCGTGGCCTATATGACGCCTGCCTGCCGTGGCTGGGCAGCGTGTTCTGCAGCTTTGCTGATGAGGAGGAGCTGGCCGGGCTCCTGGCACGGGCCCGGGAGATGGCCAAGAAGGCTGGCCTGGGCATGGCACTGGCCAGACTCTGCTTCCTCCTGGGACGGCTGTGTGCCCGGAAGCTCAAGCTCTCCCAGGCCCGCGTGTACTTTGAGGAAGCCCTGAGGGCCCGCGGGGGCTGCTTTGAGGACCTCTTCCTGGTGGTGGCCGTGTATGCAAACCTGGCCACCATCTACCTGAAGCAGAAATCCAGGGAGAAGTGTGCCCAGGTGGTGCCCAAAGCTGCGGCCCTGCTCCTGGGCACGCCCAGCCACATCTGCAGCACCGAGGCAGAGGCGGAGCTCCTGCGGTTCGCGCTGCGGAGGGCCATCAGTGGCGGGAGCCCACAGGCCGAGGCCCGGGCCTGCTTCCTGCTGGCCAGGCACCACACCCACCTCAAGCAGCCGGAGGAGGCCCTGCCCTACCTGGAGAGGCTGCTGCTGCTGCACAGGGACCTGGGCGCCCCGCCCGCCGCCTGGCCTCTGAGCTGCTACCTGCTCCTGGCCGACACCTACAGCAGGAAGTGCCTGCCCCACCTGGCTCTGAGCTGCATCAGGGTGGCCTCGCTGCGGACCCCAGGCTCGCTGGCCAGCTCCCTGAGGAGCGTGGACCTGGTCCTCTGGAACGCCCCCCGGCTGCACGGCCAGAGGACGGCAGCTCACAGCCTCCCTGCCCAGGCTGCCCACTACCTCAGGCAGGCGCTGGCCTCCACGGCCACAGGCACGGGGCGGGCCCTTCGCAGCCTGCTGTATGCCAGCCTGGCCCAGCTGCACAGCCACCATGAGCAGCACGGGCAGGCCATCGCCTTCATGATGCGGGCGGTGGAGGCCGACGCCACGGCCGGTGCGCGCCCCGTGGTGGACCGCCTGGTGGTGCTGGCCTGGTTGCACCTGCTCCACGGGCAGAGCCTGGTGGCCCTGGACATCCTGCAGTCCATCCTGGATGCAGATGTGGCCAGCGAGGACCAGGAGGGTGTGATTGTCAACATGGCGGCCATCGCCCTGAAGAGGACGGGCAGGACCCGGCAGGCGGCCGAGGGCTACTACMGCGCCCTGCGCCTGGCTCGGGGCCTGGGCCAGCTGCGGAACCAGGCAGTGGTCCTGGCCAACTTCGGGGCGCTGTGTCTGCAGGCCAGTGCCGTCGGGCTGGCCCAGCACTACCTCCTGGAGGCCATCAGACTCTTCTCACAGCTGCCCATCGGGGAGTGTGGTCAGGACTTCACCCAGGTGCTCCTGTGGACGGGCCACCTGTGCACCCGCCGGGCCCTCGCCCAGCAGGGCAAGTGTTACTACCAGTGGGCCTTTCTGGTCGCCGTGGAGACGGGCCACCTGGAGAGTAAGTGGTGACCGCAAGTGCCACCCGCGTCCCTCCTCCATGCCTCCCCGGCGTGCTTTGGCAAGCCGGCGTCCTGGAAAGAAAACTTTCCATCTCTGTTCAGAGCGCCTGGGCGTGAGTCCGAGGCCCGGGGGGGGGGGGGGGGGGGGGGGGGGGGGGGGGGGCTGGTCCCACCGGGAGAATGCTGAGTGCGGACACCGCGGGTTCCCACGCTGGGCCGGACCAAACGTCCAAGAAGGCGGACGGGTGGCACCCAGGGCTGCCAGGTGCATACTCGGGCCAGGTTTGAGCCAAGTGGGTGTCAGAGGTATCCCTCCTGGAGCCAGCGCCTCCCAGGGTCATCTGACTTGCTGGCACAGCGCTCCTTACAGCCTTCCTCTCTCGGAGGTTGGCACATCCCCTCTCCAATTCTGATTTTAGTAATTTCCATCTTCTTCGATTTTCTTTGTCAGTCTGGTGAAAGATTTGTTAATTTTGCTGATCTTTTGGAAGAATCAACTTTTGAGTGGACATTGGTGGCACACACCTGTGATCCCAGCTACTCAGGAGGCTGAGGCAGGAGGATCACAAGTTCAAGACTAGTATGGGCAACTTAGCAAGACCCTGTCTCAAAGCAGGGCTGGGGACGTGGCTCAGGTCAAGTGCTCCTGAGCGCAATCCCTAGTAGGCAAAACCCCAAACAAACAAAAGCAAAAAAAAAAAAAAAAAAAAACAGATTTTGGGTTAGTTGGTTTCTCTTCTATATTATTTTTTTATTTGCACTCTACTCTTCATTATGTTCTTCCTCTTTGCTTGTTTTAGAATTATTTAACTCTTCTTTTTCTAGTTTCTTACAGAGGAAGTTTAGGTTTGGCCTTTGAAATTTTTCTTAACAAAGGCATTCAGGGCTATGAATTTCCCTCTACATTCTTGCTTCAGCTGCACCCCCTAAGTCCTGGTATATTGTGCTTCTGTTTCTGTTCATATCGGAGTGGTTTTAGTTTCCCTTGTGAGCTCTTCTTTGACTCACTTGTTATTTAGGAATGTGTATTTTAATTTTCACATATTTTGGAATTTCCAAACTTCCTTCTGTGACTGATTTCTAACTACATTTCAAGGTAACTGAAGAACATATTTCTCAAAACTTCAACCCTTTTACACTTACTAAGGCTCACTTTGTGGCCTGGCATGTGGACCATCTTGGAGGATGTTCTATGACACTGAAACTGAACTCTGCTAGTGTTGGGTGGAGTGTTTTGTGAGTACCTATGAGGTCTAGCTGGTTTTTGGTGTGGGTAATTTCCACTTCCTTGTTTTCCTCTGGATTACTTTTGACAGTTGGAAGCTCTCCATAACTCCCAGCCCCTGGTTTGAGGAGAGGCCCACAGGCCTGTGGTTTGGAGCCTGCTCCTGGACAGAGTGCAGGCCTTGTGATGCCGGGGCACAGCGGAGTCCCATTCCATTCTAAGATTCCAGTAAACTCCAGGCAAACACTCTGGACTCTGTGTGTCCATCTGTAAGGGGAGGTGATGGTGCCACCTGGCCATCAGGTCAGGATGGAGGCAGCCCCCGTTCTGGCTAGGAGCTTGGTGAGGCAGAAACAGGAGGCCTGATGGGACAGGACTCTGGCTCTGAGGGTCATCAAGATGGTCAGTGCTGTCTCTGGAGCCTCCACAGCCTGCTGTTCCTGGGCTGTCCATGCTATGCCCCTGAGATGGCCACTTGGACTATCCTGGCTCAATTTCCCTATCTGAAGGACCTGGCTTATAGAGGTGTGGAAGAGGTGGACATTCAGCAAGGGGCCTTTGACCCCTGCCTATGGCCACTGTGGAGTCACAAGAGTGACATCTTCCTTTTGTTCCCCTCAGGCCAACTGCAAGCCGTCCAGCAGCTGTGCCACTTCTATAGCAGTGTCATGCCCAATGAGGCACAGAGCGTCATCTACCATGAGTTCCAGCTCACACTGGCCCGCAGGAGAGCCGACAAGGTGTTGGAGGGACAGCTCCTAGAGGCCATCAGTCATCTGTACCTGTCACTGGGCACCGAGCGGTAAGGGTCGCACCCCAGTGTGGGGTGGGGCCAGCATGGAGACCATGCCCCATTCCTGGGCAACCTCCCTTTGGTGACCGTGGGGTTCCTGCCATCAGCTGATGGGCCTGGGGTCACTCTGTCCATTACTCATGACTTGCGAGTCCCAGCTTGGGCACCCTCCCCTCTGCTCTCACCCCCAGACAAGCCTTGCCCCACAGATGCAGGCAGCCATCGCTAGGTCACCCTTCCTGCCATGGTGGCTTTTGTGAGCTGAACTTTGCCTGCCCTGAGTCTTCAGCCACAGGGTGGCCGGGCCTCCTTGTCCCCCAGACATGACAGTGGCCATGTGTTCCCAAGGCTTTGCATCCAGAGAAGCAGAGCCGATCGTGCCACCTGCTTCCCTGGGACAGCATCTTGGGACACATCCCTGTGGGGCTTGCAGCCCACAGGCCCCGTGGGGTCACTGCAGTGAACCCCACCTGTCACGTAGGACTCACTGATAGCTGGGCAGGAGCCAGATGTCCACGAGGACTTGGGGGACGGGCTCCTGTCCAGGCRTTGAGTTCACAGCAGAAGAAATGGGCCAGTGCTCTAGAATGCTGCTCTCCAAGCGTGGACCTGGGCAGGCAGAGCCCTGGAGGCCGCTGGAGGGGCTCAGCCTTGGCTCCCCTGGGGGCAGAGCCTGGAGCAGGGCCCAGCGATCTGCCTGTGAACAGCCCTCTGCACTCTGGGGCAGGCGCAGGGGTGAGAACCACCCGTCTAGGCCATCTTTGAATCTCTGCCCTGTGCTGAGGGTTCCTGGTGTGCCCAGAGACGAAGCTGCGTGGGCAGGGATGGGAAGAGATGGGAGAGAAACCGAGGAGCCACGGGAAGCAGGCTGCTCCTGCCAGGTGTCTGGCCCAACGCCGCTTCCCTCTGAACAATTTGCCTTTTCTGTACCTGATGACCATCTCCCAGCAGCCCTGGAGGGGCGGGTGCTGCACACGGCAAGGTCCACCCCCCTGCAGACCCACCGTGGAGGAGCCCAGGCGGGTCCCAGGGCTCTTGCCTGACATCTGCGTCTGACTCCAGGGCCTACAAATCCGCTCTGGACTACACCAAGCGGAGCCTGGGGATATTCATCGACCTGCAGAAGAAGGAGAAGGAGGCCTATGCCTGGCTGCAGGCRGGGAAGATCTACTACATCCTGCGTCAGAACGAGCTGGTGGATCTGTACATCCAGGTGGGTGGTGCAGACGGGCAGCCTGCCCGCACTCACCCGCCACACGTCCACTCCACTCACCCATGTACCCATCCATCCAACCACCCACCTGCCTATCCACCCACCCACGCTCTCACCTACTATCTATCCACCAATCCACTCACCCACCTGCCTGTCCATCCACTCACCTGCCCACCCACCCACCCACTCATCCACCATCTATCCACCAATCCACTCACCCACCTGCCCATCCACCCACCCACCCACTCATCCACCATCTATCCACCAATCCACTCACCCACCTGCCTATCCATCCACCCACCTGCCCATCCACCCACCCATCCATCCACACATCTATGTACCCACCTGCCCACCCACCTACACACTCACCTACCATCTATCCACCAATCCACTCACCCACCTGCTTACCATCCACCCATCCACCCATCTATCCACTCACCTACCCATCCACCTACCCATCCACCCATCCACCTATCCTCTCACACACCCACCCACTCACCCACCCATCCATCCACATATCCATCCATTCACTCATCCACAATCTATCCACCAATCCACTCATCCACCTGCTTATCCATCCACCCATCCACCTATCCACCCATCCATCCACCCATCTATCCACCTACCTACCCATCCACCCACCCATCCACCCATCCACCTATCCACTCACCCACCACCCACTCACCCACCCATCCATCCACACATCCATCCACTCCCTCATCCACCATCTATCCACCCACCCACCATTGTCCATCCATTCCAGAGCCAATGTTGAGCACCTGCTGTATGCCAGGAGCCCTTGTCTCTCCCTCTCTGCCCTCCTGGTTCCCTGATAGTCTCCCCCAGTGCCCAGCATCTCCAACAATGATCTGAGCTCCCTGGGGGCAGCATGATGGCCCCTCTGTGTTGGTGCCCAGGAAGTGCTTAGTCCATGTACAATCGATGTGTCCCCTCAGGTGACGCCCAGAAGGTCTTGCTTTAGCAGCCCAAGGCACATTTCCTCTGAAACGACATTGTCATATAAGCTCTTTCTGGGGGCTTCCCAAACACCACAGGACACAGTGGGGGGGCCCTGAGGCTTTTGTTTTTGAGCACCACTGTGTACCTTCCCTGAGCCAGGCCTGAGGACTCAGGATGAGGAGCTCTGACTGAGAGGAGAACCTGTCCTGCTTTGGGCACCGGGAGGGGGCTCCAGATGGCTGTGGGCAAGAGGGCTGGAGCCGCCTGGGCAGCAGGACCCGGGGTCCAGAGGCCCAGAGGTTCCAAGGGACCTGGCACGTTCTGGGGCTACAAGCAGTAGGGTGTGGCTGGACTCACTGAGCACCTACTGTGCACTAAGTGGTGGGCACAGTGTGGCCTCAGTTCCCCTTCCCATGGAGCTGGTGGGAGAGAAGTGGACGTGGTCAGGTCAGGGGGGCTAAGGACCTGGAGAAGAAGTGGAGACAGAGGGGCAGCAAGTGGCAGGAGCCCAGGTGACGTGGGGTAGGGTGGGTGGGACTGGAGGCCCGCTGGGCTCTGTCCTGCCCACTGCCAACGCCTACACCGGCCAGGGCCCTGGGGCTTTGGCTGGGCAGGCCCCTCTCGGCTCTCAGGGGCTCAGGGCTGTGGCCCCCGGGTCCCAAGAGCACAGCGAGAGGAAGCAGGCTGTGTCTGGGCGGGTGGGGAGGCTGCCGGGCTGAGCACCCTGGGTGCCTGTCGGGTGTGGCCTCCAGAGCTCCATCTTGCAGGTGGCGCAGAACGCGGCCCTGTACACTGGGGACCCCAACCTGGGGCTGGAGCTGTTCGAGGCGGCAGGAGACATCTTCTTCAATGGCAGCTGGGAGCGGGAGAAGGCTGTGTCCTTCTATCGGGTGAGCAGCGCCACCCGTCTGCCCTTGATGGGCCAGGCGTAGGCGTGGCTGGGTCAGCCTTCCTGGAGGCCGGGCTGCCCTGGGCACCTGCTTGGCTTCCTGGAATGACCTGGCACGCCCACCAGGGCAGGGCAGAGGCCCAGCCTTGGTCTCTCGCTGGCACCCAGTGGTCTGAAGCAACCCTGGGTGGGAGGGTCTTGTCTGCCTCTTACGGATGAGGAAACAGGCTGGGGGCAAGGGGAGGTGTCAAGGGACATGCACAAGAGACCTGGCCTCCTCCCTCCCCGTCCCCAAGGCTCCTGGGGTGCAGCTGGGCCCCGTCCACATCAGTGTGTTTCAAGTGGAGGGTGCTGGAGCCTCCCCCTCAGGCCCTGGTGGCTGGGGGCAGGAGGCGCTGGTCCAAGAGTGGGAGGGGGCGAGTCCGGATGGCCCCCAGCGCCCAGTGTAGCTGTCGGGACCTCGACCGTCCTCCTCCCAGGACTCGGCTGTGGGAAGACCCTAGAGGGGGAGGGGGCGTGGGAAGCTCCGGCCCCGTGGGCTGAGGGGCACTTTGCACCTGGGCGCTGCAGAGGCCTGAGCCACCTCCCCCTGTGACAGGACCGGGCGCTGCCCCTGGCCGTCACCGTGGGAAACCGGGAGGCGGAGCTGCGGCTGTGCAACAAGCTGGTGGCCCTGCTGGCCGCGCTGGAGGCCCCGCAGGAGGGCCTGGAGTTCGCCCACGAGGCCCTGGCTCTCAGCATCACCCTGGGTGAGCCCCTGTCCGCTGCCCAGGGCCAGCCAGTGTCCCGCAAAGGGCAAAGCCCTCTGGGCTCCTCTGCCTCTTCCCTGCCAACCGGGTGCAGGCCAATGGGCACCTGGGGCACTCCTGGCTCTGGGCCTCCGCGGCCTTGGTCCTCCCTGCCCTGGTCACCCTCCCTGCCCTGGTCAGCCACTACTGTTCTCTGGCTGGGGAAATCCCTGTCCCCTTCCCAGAAGCCCCTCCCTTAACTCTCGGTGTCCCTCACCGTGCTGAGCCAGGCCTTCCGTCTCCCTGCAGATGTGGGGAGCCCACAGCAGAGCCTCGTGCACTGCCCACAGGCTCCAGGCGCTGGCCCCGAAGGGGGAGGACGCTGGGGACCACCCAGGCTGGCCTGCCTGTTTGCAGGTGAAGGCCTGGGGCTCCACTGGACAGAGAGTCCCCAAGGCAGGAGGCTCTGCTGGTGACACACTCAGGAAGAGGCCGCAGCAGGTCTGCAGGAGGCCTGAGCCCTAGAGCCCAGGAGCACAGGATGGCACGGCCATCAGGGGTTCCTGGTTACAATCCAGGGAGCTCTGTGCGGGCCCGGAGCAGGGTGTCCAGATCCACCCTTGGCCCACTCCTGAGGTCCAGGGGAAGCAGGCGTTGTCCACCCACGTGACAGAGAGGAAAAGCAAGGCCTGGGGGAAGTAACCAGCTGGAGCTGCCCAGTGCTGAGAGGCAGAGTCCGTCCTTGGTCCAGATCGCCCTGCGTCCTGCCCACCCCGCAGGGCCATGTCCTCACACCCACCCCCCTACGCCTGTCCCCAGGTGACCGGCTGAACGAGCGAGTGGCCTACCACCGGCTGGCCACCCTGCACCACCGGCTGGGCCACGGCGAGCTGGCCGAGCACTTCTACCTCAAGGCCCTGTCGCTCTGCAGCTCTCCGCTGGAGTTCGAGGAGGAGACGCTGTACTACGTGAAGGTGTACCTGGCGCTCGGCGACATCATCTTCCACGACCTGAAGGTGGGGGCTGCGCTCCGTGGGGGGGCGTGGGCCCTGGGGTCTGGGGCCCAGCCCTCTAGCAGCACCGAGTGGTCTCCCTGGAGCCCCAGGCCTGGCTGTGAGGAGCTTCTAGAAAGGCAGATGCTGTCCAGCCCCTAGGGTGGCCAGGTCAGCCAGGAACTCATGGGGTACAGGACACTCAGTAGCGGGTGTAGTCAGGGGTCTCCTAGAGGTGACGCCAGGCCAGTCTTGATGGTCAAGTAGGAGTTAGCAAGAAAGGGCAGAGGGRGTGGGCTGCCGGGGGGACCCGGATCCTGGGAGACCCGCACTGCAAGATCCGGCCCACCCTGGCCCCCGCTCCAGGCCTGCCCAGGTGCCAGCCGCCTCTCAGGATCCCTCCCAGGACCCTGGGGGAAGGTGACCTTCAAGGCACCCAGGCTGCGCTTCCCAGAGAGGCAACAGGCTCAGGGAGGGGTGCAGAGACCCCCGCAGCCGGGCTGCCCTTCCAGGCCCTGAGCCGGGCCTCTTTCCTGTCCCTGCCCTCAGAGCTCCCTGCAGGTCTCCCAGCCCAGGCCACACTTCACACCACAGCGCAGGGCCTCCTCCCGCTGCGGGCGAGGGAGCCCCAGTTCACGGGCTGAGCTCTCGGGCCCTGACAGGAATCAGGGAGCTGGGGCGCCTGCCCACCCACCCTGAATGCCCGCCCACCCGAACGCCCACCCCTGCCTGGGCTCCTGTGCCCTGCTGTGCGCTGGCGGCACCTGGTGGCCAGACATGGTCCCTGCAGCCTCCTGCTGTGGCCAGGTCCCCATGAACTCAGGCTGCATCTGGCAGCCCCGAGGGACACTCACGTGCCCACCTGTGATTCTGGGGCCAGGGTCTCTGGGAAGGGGCCTTTACCTCCTCCTGGGTACACCCGCCACCTGCCCCGCCCATGGGAGGAAGGAAGGGCAGCCAGAGGCCAAGGTCGGGCCGGATGTGGTGGGGTCAAGGACAGAGAAGTCCCTCTGTTTCCTTTCTGCGCCTCTCGCCCGGCTGTCACCACGGCCTCACCTCGACCTCACGGCCAGCCTCCCACTCCCTCGGGGAGCCTGTGTCCAGGGGCTCAGGGCAGCTGGTCCCTCCAGTGCGCAGCACTTGGCCTGTGGTGCCCCTGGGAAGGGGACAGCAAAAAGCGGAGAGAGGGTGCCCCTGGCAGCTGTCCCTAGCCCCGTCTACCCCGGGGTCCTCGCAGCCAGAGGGGCCAGGCTCAGTGAGGACGGAGGGCCGGGGCGAATCCTGAGCTGCCCCCACGGGCACACCCACGGGCTCGCACATGGTCCATGCAACAGGCACACACAGGGGCTTGCACACAGGACACGGGCTTACACACAGGGACACACATGGGCACACACACAGGCTCGCACACGGGCTCGCACACGGGCTCGCACACAGGACACGGGCTCACACACAGGACACAGGCACGCACATGGACTCGCACACGGGCTCGCACACAGACATGCACACGGGCTTGCACACGGGCTCACACATGGGCACACACACGGGCTCCCACAATGGCTGGCTCCTTCCTGTTCAGTTGGGACGCCTCCTCTTCCAGGAAGCCCTCCCGCCCCAGCCCAGGCGGAGTTGGGGGCCTCCCTGTACCTTCCTCCAGGTCCCCGGCCTGGGAGCCCCAGGCAGCAGGGAGCACCTACTCACTGCCACACCATCTGTGGTTTTGTCCTAGGGTCCCTGCTCCAGGGGGCAGCAGGGGACAGAGAGGAGAAAGGGCTGTGTGTCTTGTCCCTGGCTCTGGGGACAAGTGAGAGCCAAGGAGGAGAGGGACAGGCCAGCCCAGGTCTTAGGAGGCCTCTGGGGCAGTGGGGGAGGAAAACCTCGGGGGCAGAGGTGGAGATGGCCAAGGGTGGGCGGGCAGGTCCTCACAGGTGCTGGGTGAGGGGCAGGAGGCTGGAGGTGGGTGGGTGTCAGGGGTGCACCCAGGAGGGCCTGGGGAAGATGACATCCGGGAGGTGGCCTGGCCCGGGTCACTTGTCTGCCGCCCGCAGCACATGGCCTGGGGGCCGCCAGAGCGGGGACAGACCCTGCAGCCCAGGGGACCCAGCCCAGCCTGGGAGGGAGGGGCCCGAGGGGGCGACCAGTGGGGGACAGGGTGGGGGGAGGGGGGAGAGGAGCTCACAGAGCGGCCGTCCTCCAACACCAGGCAGCGGGGACGCTGCTCCAGGCCCGACTCTGGGTCACACTGGGAGCGCTTGGCCCCACCCCGCCATGGGAGCTGCTGGTCCTCCTGGGGGAGCTTCCAGGAAGCGCGTTGGTTGGTCACGAGGACCCGGGAGTTGGGCCGCCCACGGGGCAGAGCTCAGAGCCCCCATCTGCAGGCTCGGCCGTGGTCAGCCGTGACCCTGTGGCCAGCAGACACGGAGCCCCGGGGTGCCGCGGAGGTGGGCTGTGGGCAGGCCAGCGGGTGGAGGAGCCGCGGGCCTGGGGCGGGGACCTGGGGCTGGGCTCCGAGTGGGAAGCCGCCTGCTCACACGGCCTCCCTGCCTCAGGACCCCTTCGACGCAGCGGGCTACTACCAGCTGGCGTTGGCCGCGGCCGTGGACCTGGGCCACAAGAAGGCCCAGCTGAAGATCTGCTCGCGCCTGGCCACCATCTATCACCACTTCCTCATGGACCGCGAGATGTCCCTCTTCTTCTACCAGAAGGCCAGGACCTTCGCCTCCGAGCTCAACGCCCGCAGGACCAACCTGGTGCCCCAGCGCTTCTGCAGCAGGGCCCCCTGGCTGGCCCCCGGCCACCTGCCCTGACGCCCAGGGACTGGCCCTGGGAAGGACCTCTGCCTTCCTGGGGCTCTGGGGGCTCCTGGCAGGCTGGACGCAGGGAAATAGCAATAAATCTCTCCAGCGACCAACTGGCCTCTCCCGGTGTGGCCTGTGAGTCTCCTTTTCAGCCTCCGCCTCCCGGCCTGTCAAATGATGACGAGGTGGCGGGAGCCAGGCAGGATCCTTTGTCAGCCCTGTCCTCCCTCCCAGCGTCTGGAGCTGCCCTGTCCTCAAAATGCCCAGTATGTGAGGAGTTGGGACTGTTATGACCCCAGTTAAAGAAACGTAGGCACAGAGAGGTTGAGTGTGTTACCCACTGTCACACAGCAGGTAGGGGCTGAGCCCCTGAGCCCAGGGCAGTAACTCCCACACCACCCTACCAGCCTGCCTTTAGGCCTTGCTGGTGGCTCCCGGACCTTCTCACTTCTCAGGGGTCACAGGCTAGGGGAGAGAGGCCTAAGTACTGTCCACTGAGTCCTGTGGCCCAGGACCTTGCTGGGCTGAGCCTGGTGGGGCAGCCCCAGCCCCCTCAGCCCTGCAAGAAGTGGGCAGTTGGTAAAAGGCTCTCCACCTCTCCCTTCTGGCCACTAGCCTCAGCCCTGTCCCCAGGAACTCTGGGTGCCATGGGCATCCAGGCCCCTGGGAAGGGGACCAGGTGGTGTCTTCACCGACCTCCAGGCAGGGAGACCGAGGCTCGGAGGCGCAGGGTCCTGGGAGGGCCTGCCCCTCCCCACTGTGCTGCCTGAGCCCCTCTTGCAAGCATGATTTCTAGTGAGGGGGGTTTGGAGCAGACTGGGCCATTGTGAGGTCAGCCAGCCCTCCCTGTGCCCAGAGCCTCTAAAAGAAACCTCACTGCCTCCCCAGCCTCCTAGGACAGAACGGGCCTGGAGAGGGAGGGGCCGTAGGCAGAGCCTGGGGTGGAACTGGAGGGGCTGCTGACCGGTCTCCACCAGCCACGCGGCTCCCAGCCTCGCCCACCAGGGGGCAGCAGAGAGCGCTCCCAGCCCCCTCAGGGGGCCTTGGCTGGGGAGGCAGGGGGCCTCCTGCTGCCCTGTTCTGTGGGACCAGGAGGAGGGCACGGGCAACTTGGGCCAGAAGTGCTGTCGCAGCCACCCTGAGGACCAGGTCTCTGAAGTCACCGCCCCTGGACAGCGTCCACCTCTCCACATGGGCTGGGTCCACAGGCCCAGCTGTCCTCTGCCACCTGCCTGGGAGCACAGGGCCTCAGAGAGCTGGTACCTCTGGGCCTCAGCCCAGTTACCAGGAGATGAAGGCAACATGTGGGGTGCAGAGAGCCTGAGCCAGCGCTGCCCAGCCTGGCCACAGCTGCTGGGATGACCACAGGACTGACTCCAGCCTCCACGGAACACTAAACCAGAGGCTGAGTAACTCTGGTCAACTTGCTTCACCTCTCAGACCTTCTGTCTCTTCATCAGTACCAGAGGGAAACCCTTCCTAAGGTCCCGGGAAGAAGGGAGAAAGCGTGAAGAGTGAGAGCTGAGCCGCGTGCAGCTCGGGCCGCGGCCTCCTCTGTGGCTGAGGGACAGAGCTCAGCTTGGGCACAGGCCCGCTGGACTTCAGCCCTGCTCTGCCCTTCGAGGCCAGGCCCAGGCAGCACATGCCCCCTTCCAGCAGAGTGGACATGAGGCCACCCAGGGGCCTGTGCCAGGGCCTCTGCAGCACAGGCTGCCTGTGCAGACCCCGTGCCTCCCGTGCACTCACCACCCACTGACCAGTCTGTGGGCCGCTGCAGGCCAGGAGCAGCTGAGCCACGCCCAGGGCTGGGGATGAGTCCCCACTCCTTCTAGGGCTCCCTGGGATTGTCCTCTGGACACAGAAGAGCAGCCTTCTGCCAGGGCCACAGAGCCCAGCTCCGTCCCGCGTGGCCGGCTGCCTGGCAGCCCACCAGGCACACGTCCAGGCTGGGCTCTTGCTCTGGACGGGGCCTCTGAGGTCCAGAGAGGGTGGGAGCCCCCAGCACGTCTGCTGTCATCTGCGTCCACCACAGTGGCCAGTGGCCCTGACCAGGCACAGGTGTTAGGAAGGTGGTGCTGCCCAGCAAGGCAGCCGGCTCTCCCCAGGGCAGGGGGGAGAGGGCACCTGGAGGGACTTCCCAGTCCTCAGGGGGCTTCACGCGGGCCCTGGGGTCCCCGTCCTGCAAATGCAGAGTGTCCAGGTGTCCCTGCTGGGGCTTGGGGTGCCCTTGGGCTCTTGCCTGCACCATCTGGGACCTCAGCTTTGTGTTCTAGTGGCTGTCCACTGGCACGTCCTCGGGCGTCCAGGGCCTGACCTCACGCCTGGGGAGCAGGTGACGGGGAAGTCAGCTGGGCTTTCCCCAGGAGCCCAGCAGTCCCCTTCAACTGCCCACAAGGACAGGGGCCCCATCTGCACAGCGCTGAGCTCCGCCACAGCCACGTCCCCTGACCCTGAGCCTGGACCTCTGACCACCCACACAGACCACAGCCTGGCCTCCGGGCTCGCGATCCGCCGCCTGGGCTGGTCTCCTTTCTGAAAGGAGGGACTCCAGGGCCGGGCCATGTGGCCAGGCATCAGGGCCATGGGGACAGCAGGGGGCGGTAAGCGCTGGCCGCAGAGTGAGGAGCCCTCCCTGGGGCCGGGGGGAAGTCTGTCGGGGAGACACACAGTCCCAGTGCCCCGCCCGTCCCCAGAACTCAGCCCGAGGCCAGCAGGGCCTCCCCTGCCCTCCCAGCCGCTGCCCGGGCCGCCCAGCATCCCCCTGCCAGTGGCTGGAGAAGGCCGTCCAAAACCCCTCACACTGGACAGCCCGCTCCAGGGCAGCGGCCGGCGGGAGGCCCACTGGGTGGGTCATCAGCACCAGGAGGAGCTGCAGACGCACCCATTCCCGCCACGGCCTGGTCGCGGGCCAACGCGGCCGGCTGGCCCTGCCTTACCCAGGGTCCCCGCCTGGCCGCAGAGACTTAGGCCTCTGTCCCTCTGGGGACAGCCCTCCCTGGGCAGGAAGAGCCCTGGCTGTGGACGGGACCCCTGGTGGGCCCTCTGTGTGAGTCAAGGCTGTGAACAAACCCAGGCAGACCCCGAAAGGACACAAAGGCAGAAGGCCCCCGTCTGTGCCCAGTGGGCAGCGGCACGGCCCCTGGGCCTGCTGGGGTCCCGCCAGGCTGGCAGAGGACACAGAAGCAGCCGCTGACAGAGGGCTCAGGGTCCCCCCTCGCCCAGGCACAGCAGGACAGAGGGGAAGAAACACAAGTGGGCACCTTCGGAGGTGACCTTCAGAGGTAACCCCAGAGAGTCCCCGTCTCAGGCGCAAGACCAGGTGCGGGGAGAGAGCCCGGCTCCTGCAGGAGCTCAGGGAGGCCGGCCGCGGCCCCACCACAGAGCTGGACTGGAGAGGAGGCCGTCCCGGGACCTCAGCTCACCTACTGGCCCACGGCAGCAGAGCCCCGCGGCTCCTCCCACAGGGTCCCCGGCCTGCGTCCGCTTCAGAACCGGATCCTCGTCGTGTGGGAGACGGAAGGGCCGGGCGTCCACACTCCAGCTCCCACAGGGGGCAGGGGGCCTGTCCTGTCAGCGGCCATCCTCCCTGTGACCAAGGCCTGCCCCAAGCCACCTGCGAAGAGGGGCTCGTCCTGGCTCAGGCTCCGGGGCAGCCGGCCGTGGTCAGTGCCCCGTGCTCCAGCCTCACGGTCTCAGCGAGCGGGCACGGGGCGGGCACGGGGCGGGCAGGGCAGCCCAAGGCTGGGGCTGGAGGAGAGGAAGGGCGGTTGAGTTCTTGCGGGGTTCCGAGAGTGAGTGCGCGCGCAGCCCGGTGTCCGGGAGAGCTGGGGGGGGGGGGTTCTGGTGGGGGTGTGCTGTTGCTGGGGGCCTCGTGGGTGGCGTTCGGGAGAGTCCCGGGGAGTGTGCGTGGAGTGCTGCTGCAGTTCAGGCAATAAAGTTTCCTGTTTGAAGATACAAGTGCTGTGTGGCGGCTCGGTGATCTGTGCCCAGCCAGACTGCGGCATTTGGTGGCCCGTACGAAGGGGGGAATAACATGGGCAGGTCCAGTGACCAGGCCTGACGTCCAGCGGTCATTGTCGGATGGGGAACTGAGCTGGCATGGCAGAGCTGGGCTGTGCCCACTTCCTGCCTCCCCTGGACTCAGAGCAGCCCCAGTGAGCCCAGAGGGTCCCTGCCACCCACCACTGGGCAAAGGAGTTGCCACCCTGGGGCCCTGGAGGTGGTGCCCAGGCCTGGGCATCTGGCAGACGCTGGGAGCTGGGGCCTGGGATCCACAGGGCTAGGGCCAGGGGCAGAACTTGGCCTTGTGGAGGCAGATGGACAAGGGCTGAGGCCAGCGTCCTGAGGCAGCTTCGGTTCTGGAAAAGCACCTCAAATAGGAGACTCATAAGTGGTGGCACCTTGGCACCAAGGTGTGTGAGGTCCCAGCCCCCGCCGCCTGACGCCCTCCTGCCAACGTGGGCTGCCCTCTGCGACTGCTGCCTGGCCAGTGGCCCCCCGTGTCCCAAGGTGTCCCTGAGGTTCCCCCCGTGCCCCTAGGTGTCCCTGAGGTTCCCCCCCCCCCGTGCCCCTAGTGTCCCTGAGGTTCCCCCCCCCGTGCCCCTAGGTGTCCCTGAGGTTCCCCCCCCTGCCCCTAGGTGTCCCTGAGGTTCCCCCCCCCGTGCCCCTAGGTGTCCCTGAG